TTTCATGCTGCTATTTGAGTTCAAACAACAGCTTGTAAACTACAGAACACGGTGGAGATGCTACGAATAAAGAAGAATTCAAAGTTAGCAAATCGGATGATTCAATGTGGTTTTTCCATAGACTTTGAAAGTTGTTCATAACGAAGTAATTAGTTCCAATTAGAGTGGAAGATTGATTTTCGTCGGTCAGGGACAAATGCTGTCTGTTCGGTCCTTTTCGGTCGCTAAAAAAAAAAGTTAACGAAGGTCCACGCAATGCAAATGAAAAAATCAGTGAAACGTATGTCGAGGAGTAGTAAGTAGAACAGTAAACAGAGTAGTCAGTAAAACAGTAAAAGCTTCTTTAATTTATGGTTTTTTTCATAGCTTCCCAGTTAAAGAGCACGTGATTGTGCTTCCGTCAAAACTGTTGCAGTTAAAATTGAGAGTTATTTATCTTTTGAGGAACTTGCTTTCAAAACAAGGTCGTTCAAGGACAGGAAACTTCAACTCAACTGATGACAACTAAGTTGAAGGATCTCGTTAATCAGCTTTAAACAGTTTTGACATCGCGCAATACTAAAACAGCAGCGTGTATTAAAAACGAGCACTATGCCATAGGAAGAAAAAACAAAAAAACAAAAAAACAAAAACAAATATTCAGTCAAGCTAGATTTTAATTCGTCCGAAACGTGTGTTGACGGTAAAATGAAAGCTTTCTTTTTCTGTACCTATATCAAGATTCGTATAAATTCACCTTTTCTAAAGACGTGCGTGATGTTTGATGAAATCTTATCAAATCAAATGTGTTATTCTTCAACTACCTTATGCTATTTTGGACGCTGGATGTGAAATGTATAAGCTTTTACAGGATCCGATGAGTCACTATGAATGTTTCTCTAGTATTTTCAAGCGGCATTATCGTACATTTGTTTTCCACATTCAAACTGATGCCTTCTTCTGACTCAGATGGATGGATTTGAGCCAAAAAGCCCAGATCGGCAGATCATAAAATAACTCCTTTATTCATGGAGCAGTACGTGTGGTACTGAATGCTTCACTGACATAGGGATCAAGTAGTATCATTCACCAGTCTCAGACAGCACAAAAATAAACATTTTGAAAAGAAGCCGCGCCGCTTCGTAACAAAACCCGGTTTCACTTTCATGTTAATGTCGTTGACTGCTGAATGTGACTTTGTAGCTGCTTTTTTATGAAACTATAAACGCCTGCTGCTATAAGTCCAGAAGCTCTCAAAACGGTTAGTTTTAAAGTTGATATTCTAGATTTCAATTACAAATATTTTACGCTCGGAAGCGGTAACTAAAACATTTGCAACGAAACTATTTCGCAATGGCATCGCTATGATGCCGCCATTAATCCATTCAACGATTTTTCTTCAATTTGATCGTAAACAATACTTTGAAGCGAATAAACAACTGCACTCGAAGGTTTACTCGTCATAAATTGTTTGATGCAAACCAGCATATTCTAGTGAAACGGTGTGGCTGTTTTTATTTTTTATTTTGTTTTTTTTTTTTTCATTGACGAGAGAAATGGCTTCGCAAAAGCCTCTATTACTGACGTAAATATGAGTTGATATTTGCGCACTCTATATCCTCCAAACGACAATCCCTGAGCGTAGCTACCGTTGATGCTATCGAAGATGCTTTTTCCAGACACTTAAGTGCTTCGTCGAAAACGGAATCGAAACTAGCAACTTTTTCATCAACATAGTTTGCCATCTTTCTCTTTTTCCTCCAAGAGCGAAATGTCCAAATGACACATTCGGCTTGGGATTCGGCTGGAGCTTAACCGCACCAATCAGGAACTCCGTTTGTGGACGAACAGAGTTTTGTAAAATAACAATGACCCCAGGCAGGCGCAATCTTCACTCCCCCTTCCCCACCCCTCTCCTTATTTTGACCGTTGACCCCCTCCTGGTATAAATTTCTTTCTATTCCCAGCCTTCCGCTGTCATTAAAATAAAAGATGGCGGCCATACTTTTCGCTAAGAAAATACTGAGCAATCGCTCGTCGGTGCTGCCATTTACCATCTCATATCCAACGCACGTTCACGGAATATCGAATAATTGTCAACCGACTATTGACCTCCGGGGAACACGCGCGGGCATTTAATGAGCTCAAATCATCTATTTGAGCTATGTTATCTTAATCTTTTAGTACATACTAAAACAGCTTTTCATCTTCTTGTCGGCACTCGCCGCCTCCCTCGCCTATCTACCACTAGCCTCCTGCACTTCGGTGAATTGTTGTTAATATACTACAGCCTACTAAAAGAAATATGTTTGAAGTGGGGGCTAGCAGTTCCTCAAAAAACGACTGTGAAAAAAAAAAGAAGTCATTCGTGGCTATCAACTCAACTAACGTCAATGCTCAACTAAGCAATGTCAAGCTTCGAGCCTCCAGCCCCTATCGGTAACTAAACTGCGGTTACCTTTCTTATGTTTGTAGTTCTTTAGCGCAAAACAACAAATCAAAAGATGACATCGCAGGATCTGACATCGAATGTCAAAGTCTGAAAGTAGCATGAAAACAAATACCTTGCTAAGGAAATAAAAAAAACAGTTCCCAAATAAATAAGAATGGCTGAAGCATGGGGAGTCAACCAATATATGGATCAACAAGTAAATGAATGAATATATAAGTGATGAGATAATCTAGTAGGAATTTATGGTTTCGCTCTTGTGGCTTTATGTCCCTGAATGATTCAAATTGAATAACTAACAAATTTCTGTAATGCAATGCAGTTCTGTTTACACATTGCAAGAGAAGGCCATTCGGCGTGAGAGCTAGGGCCCGAGTAGCAATTTTGTATCCCTCAGCTTATAGTTCGCTCTATTATGATGTTTTTCAGTTGTCATCGTAATTCAATTTTGAATCCAGTAATCAATCTCTCCATTCCTTGCAACTGTTTTAAAATTGCTATGGTCGAAACGCTTTCCACAGCGGTTCTTTTAGGCTATCTCGCCCTCCATAAAGGATCATGCTTTCTGGTGGGTAACGTAACACTCTCCAGAACGGCTGCGAAACAGACTGGTAATGACTGGGTGAATGAGCTAACAATGGACAAATTTGTGATTTTTTATAGGGGCTGGCACAAAATGGCCACTGCACTAGAATACTCTTCAGAGCAATTAAACTACTACAGAATTTGCTATGTCGTCACCGATGTACTAACAGAGGGCTTGCGAATAATTTTTAAACAAGAATGGGACAATCGCTATCGGAGAACATGGGGAGAATGGAAAGATCAACCTAACAATGGACTGGACTTTTGGAATGGCGAATCCTCTCGTAAGAGGAGCCGAAACGCTCGTCTGCTGACAACCATGAAAAACGGTGACACAGCTGAATGGGATTGCACCATGCTGTTTTACGCCATTCTTTATTCAGACTGCATCAATGGCCTGAATCCAACTGTCCAATCACACGTGGATGACCTCAGGAAGTTGCGTAATGAAGACTTTGCGCATATGCCACGAGGACACCTTTTGGAAAAAGATTTCCAAAGTGTGATTTTAAAAGTTAAAAGTGCATTTCTGGCACTCGGTCTTCCCATACAGAAAATCCAAGATATTCAAAGTCAAACAAGTTTCCCAACGGAAGAATTGACAAATATCTTAAAGACGGTTGACGATCTTAATAAAGACGTTCAAGAGAATAAAAGAAAACTTCAGGACAAAGATAATGAGCTTCTCAAGAGGGGTAAGGAGCTACTAGAAAAAGAGGAGCAGCGACAGGTCCTTGAGCAGCAGCTTCTTACAAGTGTGTCTTCATTTTGTGTTCTTCCCCTAAAACCTACACACGACGTCATAGGCCGCGATTCTGAGGTTAGTAAAATTGCCCAACAGCTCAGAGCCCTCAAATATGCTAATGATGATGCTATAAGCACCTTGTATATATCTGGAAATCCGGGATGTGGAAAATCGCAGCTGGCCCGTTTGGTAGCCAAGCAATTCTACGACGAAGTCAAAGAAAATCCTTTTAAGACTTCATTTGTTATGACCCTGAATGCTGAAAATTCAGAAACGCTTTTGGAATCCTATGTCGTTTTCGCTCGACACTGTAAATGTCCGGAGTATGCAGTTACAAACACTCTCAACTCCAAAAACCTATGTGTAGACGAAAAGATTACAAGTCTTAAGACGCTGGTAGGCGCGAGAATTTCTTACTATACGTCATGGCTGCTGGTAGTCGATAACGTCAGTAATGTGTCTCAAATACATGGACACTTACCAGATGCAGGAGACGAACAGTGGGTAAGAGGCCAGTTGCTGATAACAACACAAGACGCTTTTTCTATCCCTTTGACAAATTCTGCAATCCAACATGTCTCAGTCAGCAAAGGAATGCATCGAGACGATGCCCGCTCGTTGTTAACACTCCTGTCAGGGGTGAATGACCGTGAAATGGAAGATGAAGTTGCACAGGCATTAGACTATCAACCTCTTGCCTTAGCGAGTGCCTCCATTTATGTGCGAGAAGTTCGGCAGAGTAAAGTATCTGTCAACTTTGGCTGGGGCGACTATCTGGAGAAACTTTTAGGCGGTCAACGAAATACGACAGAGACTATTCTTACTGAGACAAATCCAAGCTACAAGAAGTCCATGACAACAGCAATAACACTTGCAGTGAAAGAAGCAATGACGACCGACGGAGTCGTTAATCACCTGTTCACTTTTCTTGCTCTTTGTTCACCTCAGCCAATACCTCATGACGTCGTTGTCAATTACATCATGGAAATGGATGAAGAATTTATTGATAAAGAGTGGATCGCATCGAGGATAAATCGATGTTCCTTGTTATTATCTGAAGAAGAAGGAGACAGAGTCTATATCCGAGTGCATGGAGTTGTTCGATTTGTACTTGATTTTTTAAAAACAAATTATGCAAAGGATTTGTACATGAAAGCCGTTGTTGGGGCTGTTGCATCATTTGCCAAGGTCGATGACTTTGATACCTTTATCATCGGCTCTAAAGTTGTTCCCCACCTAAGAAAATTGATCCTGGAGGATAAATATCTATTTCCTATACAAGAATTATCTCAAGTCAGCAAAATGGGTGTTATTCTCCTACAAGATTATCTTAATGGCCTTCCGATCCTCGGAAAAATGTGTCTCAATCATTGTGAATACAAAGCTGCAATGAACTACTTCGAAGTAGCCTTGGAAATCAACCACTCATGTAGCGCAAACGACGCTCTAGAAAAAGCAAAACTGTACCTCTGTGTGGGAACCGCACACAACTGTATGGGTAACTTAGAACAAGCGAAGAAGTTCAATGAATGTGCACTGAACATTTTTATGAAACAGCTCGGACCTGAGCATGTACATGTCGCAACTTCTTACAATAACCTGGGCATTGTATATACAAATCAAGGTGATTTCCACCAAGCAAAGGACAGCCATGCACGTGCACTGGTCATTCGTCTGAAACAGCTCGGACCTGAGCATGTAGATGTAGCAAGTTCTTACAATAACCTGGGTAATTTGTACAGAAATCTAGGTGATTTCCAGCAAGCAAAGGACAACTATGCACATGCACTGGACATTAATGTGAAACAGCTCGGACCTGAGCATGTAAATGTGGCAACTTCTTATGATAACCTGGGTACTGTATACAGAAATCTAGGTGATTTCCAGCAAGCAAAGGACAGCCATGCACGTGCACTGGATATTCGTCTGAAACAGCTCGGACCTGAGCATGTAGATGTCGCAGCTTCTTACGATAACCTGGGAACTGTATACAGAAGTCTAGGTGATTTCCAGCAAGCAAAGGACAGCCATGCACGTGCACTGGACATTTCTGTGAAACGGCTCGGACCTGAGCATGTTGATGTCGCAATTTCTTACAATAACCTAGGTAAAGTATACAGTGTTCTAGGTGATTTCCAGCAAGCAAAGGACAGCCATGCTCGTGCACTGGACATTCGTCTGAAACAGCTCGGACCTGAGCATGTAGATGTCGCAACTTCTTACGATAACCTGGGTATTGTGTACAAAAATCTAGGTGATTTCCAGCAAGCAAAGGACAACTATGCACGTGCACTGTACGTTCGTCTAAAACAGCTCGGACCTGAGCATATAGATGTCGCAAGTTCTTACGATAACCTGGGTGATGTGTACATAAATCTAGGTGATTTTCAGCAAGCAAAGGACAGCCATGCACGTGCACTGAACATTCGTCTGAAACAGCTCGGACCTGAGCATGTAGACGTTGCAACTTCTTACAATAACCTGGGTATTATGTACACAAATCTAGGTGATTTCCACCAAGCAAAGGACAGCCATGCACGTGCACTGGACATTCGTCTGAAACAGCTCGGACCTGAGCATGTAGATGTCGCAAGTTCTTACAATAACCTGGGTATTATGTACACAAATCTAGGTGATTTCCAGCAAGCAAAGGACAACTGTGCACGTGCACTGGACATTTATGTGAAACAGCTCGGATCTGAGCATGTACTTGTGGCAACTTGTTATGATAACCTGGGTACTGTGTACAGAAATCTAGGTGATTTCCAGCAAGCAAAGGACAGCCATGCACGTGCACTGGACATTCGTCTGAAACAGCTCGGACCTGACCATGTACATGTCGCAACTTCTTACAGTAACCTGGGTATTTTGTACATAAATCTAGGTGATTTCCAGCAAGCAAAGGACAGCCATGCACGTGCACTGGACATTTACGGGAAACAGCTCAGACCTGAGCATGTAGATGTCGCAACTTCTTACAATAACCTGGGTATTGTGTACACACATCTAGGTGATTTCCAGCAAGCAAAGGACAGCTATGCACGTGCACTGGACATTCGTCTGAAACAGCTCGGACCTGACCATGTACATGTCGCAAGTTCTTATAATAACCTGGGTATTGTGTACAGAAATCTAGGTGATTTCCAGCAAGCAAAGGACAACCATGCACGTGCACTAGACATTCGTCTGAAACAGCTCGGACCTGAGCATGTACATGTCGCAACTTCGTACGATAACCTGGGCACTGTATATACAAATCAAGGTGATTTCCACCAAGCAAAGGACAGTCATACACGTGCACTGGATATTCGTCTGAAACAGCTCGGGCCTGATCATGTAGATGTTGCAACTTCTTACGATAACCTAGGTACTGTATACAGAAGTATAGGTGATTTCAAGCAAGCAAAGGACAACTATGCACGTGCACTGGACATTTATGTGAAACAGCTCGGACCTAAGCATGTACATGTCGCAACTTCTTACGAGAACCTGGGTACTGTATACAAAAATCTAGGTGATTTCCAGCAAGCAAAGGACAGCCATTCACGTGCACTGGACATTCGTCTGAAACGAGTGTGAATTAATGTGAAAAAACGAATTTATGTGAGACCGCTCGGACCTGAGTACGTACATGTGGCAACTTTATACAATAACCTGGGTATGACATATATAAATCTAGGTGATTTCCAGCAAGCAAAGGACAACTGTGCACGTGCACTGGACGTTTCTGTGAAACAGCTCGGACTTGAGCGTGTAGATGTGGTAACCTCTTACGATAACCTGGGTACTGTATACAGAAATCTGGGTGATTTCCAGCAAGCAAAGGACAGCCATGCTCGTGCACTGGACATTCGTCTGAAACAGCTCGGACCTGAACATGTACATGTCGCAACATCTTACAATAACCTGGGTATTGTGTACACAAATCTGGGTAATTTCCAGCAAGCAAAGGACAACTATGCATGTGCACTGGACATTTATGTGAAACACCTCGGACCTGAGCGTGTAGAAGTCCCAAGTTCTTATAATAACCTGGGTATTGTGTACAGAAATCTAGGTGATTTCCGGCAATCAAAGGACAACTATGCACGTGCACTGGACATTTATGTGAAACAGCTCGGACCTGAGCATGTACACGTCGCAACTTTTTATGATAACCTGGGTACTGTATACAGAAGTCTAAGTTATTTGCAGCAAGCAATGGAAAGCCATGCTCGTGCACTGGACATCGTCTGAAACAACTCGGAACTGAATATGTACATGTCGCGACCTCTTAGAATAACCTGGGTATTGTATACAAAGACCTAGGTGATTTCCAGCAAGCACAGGACAACTATGCACGTGCACTGGACATTTATGTGAGACAGCTCGGACCTGAGCACGTATAGGTTGCAACATCATACAATGCAAAGGACAACTATGCACGTGCACTGGACATTTATGTGAAACAGCTCAGACCTAAGCATGTACATGTCGCAACTTCTTACGAGAACCTGGGTACTGTATACAAAAATCTAGGTGATTTCCAGCATGCAAAGGACAGCCATGCAAGTGCACTGGACATTCGTCTGAAACAGCTCGGACCTGACCATGTAGATGCCGCAACTTCTTATAATAACCTAATTATAACAGAGATATTAGAAGGAAAAAGCGTTCGGGACTCAAATATCAATATTCCTGTTCTTTCTAAGAACGTAGAAGGCCTCGAGGGCCTAGTGAAGAAGCAGCACCGAAAAAAAAACGGTAAATTGGAGTTTAGCCTGCGACTACTCCAACATAATTGAATGCGTTTATTTTACGAAGTTCGACAGACAAACATTATAATTTATGAATATTCATGCGGTCGTTCCCGCGCAAAGAAAATTAATTCCGCTTTGAAAATAGCTGCCGTTCGAGGAGAAGTCGACGATCTCCCCGCGAGGTGCATCTCTCTGCTGCAAGAATTTAAAGATCTTATTGAGGCATATAACAGCGGTCATGAAAATGCGGACGAAACAGCTGCTTTCACGTTAAGCGAAAGACAGGCTCGGCCGTCGTGTAGTGCAACAAAATCAGGGAAATGCCACCCATAGGAGAGTGATGCAGAATTTTCGATCACTCTTCGCTCCTTATTCAGCCGCCTGTTCCTCTTCTGCCTCTACAAGACCTTAAGCGGCTAAAAAAACCCCGGATCTTTCAAGTCAAAGAGACCTGAACTCGCAACTTTTTCTGCCTTGGGTCCACACAAGCTACTTCTGTCCCTTCACGCGCGCAAAAAAATTGCGTTGCAGAGTGCTCAGGGCTTGGACGCCGGAAAGTGGTTTTTTCGTTTAAGGGAACAGCACTTGATGTAAAAACCAGACTTGAAAGCGTGTACCCAAAATTGACAGCCAGTGGTGGGTTTGAATTGCTGAGAAGTGGGTCACCTAGCTCGAAGCTTTCTCAAATCACCTCTCCGCCTGGAGGATACTTAAAGTAGCATTCCTGCGCGACGCTGCCGGACTTGGCCGAGGACTGACCTACATCAGGCCACTCCAAAAGGATTTAGACATATTAGAGAATCCAAGCATTGAACAGGTAAGTGGATACAAGACCAGTTTAATTAAAACCTCCACCCCCTGAATTAGTTGTACTAGTTGCAAAGGGGGTAAGGGGCTTCCCCTACGAATGTAAAATTTCCTGAACCCTACAAGCTGTGGGTTATCTGAAGTTACTAGTTTGATAAAAAGAACTTTTGTTTAAAGGTCAAAGGTGAAAATGTGTTTAGTGTCAAGGGTCTAGAGTGTGGAGAAGATGTGGCTTTGGCCACCTTTAGGCAGCACCAGGCCCAAGGCATTATCAGAACGCAGTGAGTTATACTTGCATTCTTACATGTCATTGTACTGTTTACAGCTTTATATACTAATCTAAAGATAGAAATTGTAAGTAGACAGTTACTTGAGTTTCACACAGAATGCAATCATTAGACTGTTCTGTTAGTGGCAGTGGAAATTAATTTAGACTAGACTCAGGGTACAGTCTGATATGCTTTGTGCGTGAAAATCTAGTAATTGTCAAGTTACAATTTCTATCTTTAAATTAGTATTTCATGCTGCATGTATTTGTATTGCGCACCCCTATGATTGTGTGAAACCATTTGCATTTTTCTTTGGTTCAAATTTTATTTTCCTTTGTTTTTGGTATGGTAATGTATGATAACAAGTTTAAAACAAAGCAAAACAAAATTTGAACTGAGGATAACATGGAACCACAACTTGAGCAATAAAAAATATAATAGTGTTAATTGCAAATTAAATGCCAAAAGTGTTAATTATCATGGTAAAAACCTACATTTACATTCTTATGGAATGTTTACACTGTTTCCTTTCATGTGTGAAGGGAGCCTGAAACACTGGCAGCAACTGAAAAGTCTCTGGGACTGGTGGAGGTTAGTAACAATTTTTCACTCAACAAAAATTAATTTAAGATGTAACTTTTCCCTGGCACACCTTCACATGTATCACAGGTTCAACTGATAACGCTGCTTTCCAATACCATACAACAAGTTTAAAATGTAAATTGAAGCTAACACCTTAACTTTTAATATAAAATAATATTAACTTTATCTGTGTACATGTTGCTGTAGATCAGAATTCACACTGTTATATGTTTCAAATGCCAGGGTACCTCTTCTGATGGTGGGAAACTAAATAAGGAATGTGATATGCTGAACACAATTTCAGATGGTGAGTATTTAAAAGGAAAACAGTTTTAGAACATAAATTGATCTGTAGTGTATATTTTTGTTGTTTGGCAACCACTTTCAATGCAGCAAACTTAACTTACCAGAATTTGGGTACTTTTGTCATTTTAAAATAGAGCAAGTTTGGAGATTCAATTGATGGAAATTTTTCCCAGAGGGACTTCAGAAAAAATTCAATATATGCACTTCTGCAGGGAAGTCTGGATCTTTCTGGTGCAATTGATAATCTATTGAATGGAGTGATGGATAAGAAAGAATAGAGTGAAACAAAGTGAATGACGAAAATGAATGTTGATGTAGGTTTATACAGGAACTTGTATGTTTGCTCAAATGCACCTGAACATACATAATAGGGAATGTTGGGAGAAGACTTGAAAAGCTTGTATTCATCACAAACCACAGACATAAGTTAATAACACAATTGAACTCAGATATTTCAGCCTATTAAGCTAAGTACTCAGATAAGATATTATTGAACTAGTTGTTTTCTTTCAAGGCTTTCTGTGATAAATTGAACTATTTGTTACTGCTTAGTTGCTAGTTTTCTTTGTTGATGATGAAAGTCAGAACTATCACTGAAAATATGTTAATATTTATGTACTTCATCTCCTAACTAAGATGTTATTATTTTTTAATATTCAGTTCCTTGAATACTTAGAAGGCCAAAGCTGCACATTTAACATTAAACACTCAAGTTAAGGAATAAATCACAGTGCTGAAGTAAAGACTAGAGATCCATATCAGAATCCAGCTCCTTCTTAGTCCTTGTTGGCAAGATGATTGTGCATTCTTTTATAAATTAATGCAAAGCGTGGAAGGTATCTTACCAGCTGTCATCACCTTCATAATAAGTGGTAGCCAAGACACTGCCTTGGAACATCTGGTTCTCAAAGATATCCCAGGTCCCTGTCTGCTTCAAATTCTTGGAGAGGTAAATTATTATGACAGATGAGATTTACAGTGCATACAAGTGTTGAATTACAAGTAGATTATATTTTGTCACTTGTGAGATGAAAAAAATGTGTAATTTTTAAACCCAAAAATATAAGAACTTGTTTAGCTAAGTAAGATTAAGCAGGTCCTTGTATGTGGGTTACAGATAAATAAATTATTAAGTTAAAAATTGTAGCCAAGGAGTTTGACTTCCAGATTGCACATTTATTGTATATTATTTTTTACTACACAACTCTTATTGTAGAGATAATGCTGTGTGCATTCTGTAACCAGATTTCTTAGGCTTATCATGACAGTTGTGAATAATTACTGTTATGGCCCAAACCCAAGTTTGGTCATTTTTCTGGTAATCAACAACTGCATCTCCTTCATAGAAATCAAGAACCTAATTAAAATATACTTACCCTAAAATATTGCCAATAACTACCCCAGAATGCAAGAATTTTGCCAGACTCCAAAAAAGTAGGTTCTTATACATGGTTTTTAACTGTTTTCATACTGTTTATGCATGCACCAGATTGGAATAAGATGTTTCTTACAATTTTTTATTAATCATTTTTCCTCTTAATTAGCTTATGGATTGCAATGACCAGGAGCTGGGTAGACTTACTTTGGATGGGGACTTCAATATTGTGGACACACTTGTGGCAGCAGGATTTCCTCATATTGAAGTACTTCCCTCCAACAGGTCATTGGCCTGTGAATGTGTCCTGACATATGAAGTTGTCACTTAGTCTATCCCTGTATTGGATGACCTCAGGAAGGGGTTAGATTCAGAACGTGTAATGGCCTCAACTGGGATTGACCCTGTCCAGCAACATCCACAATTACAGCAATTAATCTTCCCAGCTGCTGTAAGTAGGATTGAAGTGTCAGAGCAACTGATCAAGTATAATCAAACAGATGACAGCACAGCAAAAGCTGCAGAGTACTTTGATAAGTACTTAGATGAGCTGAATACCAGAGGTACAGAAATCTTGAATGAATGTATTTTGAGGTTCATGCTAATTGGTCATACACATCCTTGTTGCACATGGAAATTCATGATGCAATTAATGTCAGGGGCACCAAAGAAATCATCTTAACACTTAGTTACCTTTTGGCAATTGAATTATTTTTGTAGAGATTTAGCTCTTCAGCTGAACAATTGGTGACCCCTATTTTTAGAAATTAGTCCCTTTAAGAAATGAACAAATTCAAGGCACTGTAACTTACACAATGCAAATTGTTTTACCATCAGTATTGTAAAACTAACTGTCATTGAGGCCATCTTTTTTAGATTAGGGTATTTTTTTATGTGCCCATGTGCAAAACAGTGTTTCTGCATATCTGGCTTTGAGTAAATCATTATCAGACTGTGGTAAGAATCCCAACTGCATGTTCCCACCCCCTGATATGTAATGTAAAACAAAATATATGGATGCCACAAAGATTTTGGAAAATCTCGAAAATTGTTACATCTTGAATACATTCTCATGGCCTGAGTTGCAAAACTTCCTTTTGATGAGAAAGTGTAAATTTTTATGTCTTGTTTTCTTATTTTTTTTTGGCTAAGATGGCTCAAAAGATGAAGAAACACTGCGGGGCTGACTTGCAATTGTGGACTGGTTGGCCCTCCCCTCCAATCATTGAAGAAAAGTTGGCAGTTGCCTTTCTTGCAAAGACACCAAACAAAGTTCTGGCAGAAGCAGGCACCTGTTTTAAGGTGTTGAAGATGCCAAAATACCACACAGAGTATGACAATTTTGTGAAATATATGGATCTTTCCATTTCATATGGTAAAGTGGGGTTTGGAAAGATCTAGATAGATGTTCAGTAGTTTCTGAAGGACAGTGTTCTTTGATTGATATTTGTTTGGTTTAGACTATATATTACAATCAATTCCATGGGAATACTCAGTTAATTTTAATAGTACACATTACTGACTAGTTTTCCATGATTGGTTTTTACTTCACTGTAGCTTATATTTTCCAATCTGAAATCATTGTTGTTTTTCCTTATTTTTGTGGAAATTTGTATGTTACTTTTTGGGCTTAAGTGATTATGTTTCATGCTACATGTTGAAATTAATTCCAGTTCATATTTATCCTTCATATCATAGCATGTATCCACAAATTCCTGCTGATTTATTATGGTTTAGACTTCATATTACAATCAAATCCATGGAAATACTCAGTTAATTTTAATAGTACACATTTAACTGACTAGTTTTCCATGATTGGTTTTAACTTCACTGTAGCTTATATTTTCCAATCTGAAATCATTGTTTTTTTCCCATCATTTTTGTGGAAGTTTGTATGTTACTTCTTTGGCTTAACTGGTTATGTTTCATGCTACATGTTGAAATTAATTCCAGTTCATATTTACCCTTAATATTATAGCATGTATCCACAAATTCCTGCTGATTTATTATTCTTTTGAACAGTGGTACTTTTGCAAGTGTGTGCAAAGTTCCAAATAATTTTATATTGCTAATATACATACAAACAGTCAATCAGCAGCCATAGATTAATGTTATTTACAGACCTGGAAGCCTGGCGTCGGGGTGTGAAGGACGGGGCTCACAGGGCTGAGATGAAGGCCAGGGCCGAGGCGACTATCAAGAGGGGGACGAGAAAGAAACGTCAAAGATCAGATCAAGAGGCCACCAATTACATCTGTTCCAGCTGCAACAAAGATTGCCACTCAAGAATCGGGCTTTTGAGCCACTCAAGAGCCCACCAACACTGATGCGCTGACCATCGCCTCTCCGAGACGAGGATGCCATTATGATTATTATTATGATTTACTCATGTCGATTTCACTAAAAACAAGAATTTAAAGCTCAAAGGTTTTAGAAATAAATTAAAAGGAGTTTTAACTTCAAAAACCATAACTATTCTTTTCGTTTATTGATAAAAGTGAAATGTGAAAATTCTCATTTAAATGTAATATCAATTGGTTATTATATGTGTTAGGCCAGGCCCAGGCACTGTTACAACCAAATGAGTGTTTTTAGACCACTTTTACTCTCACAAGCTCCAGAAACAGTGCTCATCAATTAATGATTAACTCGGAATCTGCAACACTTCTGCATAAATGACAACACTATAGACTTCTGACTCTCTTAGAGGATTTATGGTTCTCAACTGTTGTTGAGCCTCTGAGGTGATGGCCATTTGTCAGTGGCACCTCCACAGATGAATGAATTGCTCAAGTCCTTGTTATTCCTACATTCTTTAAAATCAAATTAATTTGATTTACCTCTGGGTTTTAAAACTCCAATGTCGCTCGTCCCTGGGACTGTGCCGAACCCAACCTACCACAAATCCAAAGATGTTTTGGAGAGCACTCCCTTTCTGTGCTAAACCTTTTAACTCCCAGATCAAATTTGTAACCCTCCTTACTTTCAACCCTACAATTCTTATAATGTTAGTTCAGAGGATTTAGTATTGGATCAACTAATTGTCCCCAAATTGATATTTTTCGCTGTTCTCATTACTTCTTTGGTTGATATTGTAGAGATATTGTAAGGAGAATTCTGTCTGGGAGTTAATGGATTAAAGGAGCTCTATTATATGCCTCTTG